TGGTGACCTGGCCAATGCTCTAACTACTCAGCCACACTGGCGAGGGCAGATGCTGGACATGTTTTGAAGATACAACCTACAGGATTTGCTCCACGCTGAGAGTGAAATATGGAAGAAGAGAAAAAGAATGCCTACAACACTTTTGTGGTTGCTTATTTTATTAAAAATATTTAAATATAGAAGAGATGTGCTAGGTGAAGAATGTTCCTTTCACTGTTCTTTCAAATCTTCTGTATGATTGAAAATTGTCATAGTAGAAGGTTTAGAGGAAAATAGTTCCCATAAAAAATTCTTAAGCAACTGTCCAATCAATTGCACTTTAATTTGCTGTGACATAATTTTTTGATGTTAACAGATTCTCAGCAAATATGACTCAGGGCTGGGTCTGTATTGTCTACATCTCTACTTCCTTGTAGGTGCTTCCCGGAACATGACTCCTGCAAACTCAAGAAAACGCAACTAATTTAACAGCTCTGGATCAAATAGCCTCATGAAGACTTATTTCAAGTTGTCAATATAGAAAGTGGAAGTTTTTAGTAAAGCCCTGGTAAGTTTCTAATCATTAAAGATATGTTTCATCAACTTTCTTTAAAAGCTATCTTTTAAAATTAATTCTAAAAACTAATCAGAACTATGAAAATGAATATTCTTTCAAGTGTACATAAGCTTTTTCTAGCAAAACAATTCTAAAAGAAATGAGGAGAAATGTTGAAGGGTGTTATTTAAGAAGGAACTAATGAACAAAAGAAATTGACAAACAAAATAGACCCAGAGACACTGACACAGGCAACAGACCTTATCTCAGAGGGAAGAGGGAAGGAGGGTGGGGGGGGAGGGAAGAGATTAACCAAAAAGTTACATGCATATACGCATAACCCATAGACACAGACAATAATGGGGTGCAGGCCCGGGGAGGGGGTGGGAGCAAGGTGGAGGGAACCAATGGGGAGAAAAAAATGGGACACCTGTAATACTTTCAACAATAAAGATAAATTAAAAATAAATAAATAAAAATAAAAAAAATAAAAGGAATGCGGAACCGTACTGCCTTCATATACATATTGCTAGAAGTAACTTAGGCTGAGTGCAGAATTCTTTTAACAAGAAACCTTCCCACAGGCAGGGTGCATACTGTTTCTGGAGGTGGAAGGCTCTGGGGATGAGGCTCGAAGAGCCAAATAAAATATAGATCAGAGGATCAGGAACTGAAACATACCAGGCTGTGTAGAAAATTGTAACCAAGTGCAGCTATGCCAACACTGCCCTATGTAACTCAAGATGATATCAGAAGTTTTCATCCAGTTAAAGATTAAGCCCTCCAAAGTTTATTTTACTTAAGGATTTCCTTCATAACTAGCTTGGACAGAGACTATGTGAAGAAATACATAATTTTAATGTGTACTTTGTAAAACGAAACTAGCTTGCTGTACAGTTTCAGTTCCAAAGAGCATCAGAGCAGGGCGTGGACCTGCTGGTCTAGAGCCAAGCTTGCACAAATTCCTTCCTTGACGTAAAAACACCTGGGGGTTGCTAAGGCCCAGCCTCCTAGAGACAGGGCTGGGCACAGGTATTTGCCCTGCTGGTTTGATCCTTCCTGATCACCTGCCCCACCCCACCCCACCCCTGAGAGAAAATATAAATCCTTAGGGAATAGATCCTGAAATGAATTACTCATAAGGAGAACTTGGGGGTTGAAAATGTTCCCAGAACAGAATAAAGGAGATAAAGTGGAGGTTTTCTCCCCAACTCCATCCCGAGCAACACCTTCACCCATTTAAAGAAGCAGAACAAAAACAACAGCCAAGACAACTTTGGTTCCAGTCCTATTCCCTGCACCATGAATGGGAAACAGGTCAGCTGGAAGGAGACACAATTTAATCATGGCTTTATTTGCCTGATCACAACTGCTAGGTAGCTTCTTGACAAATATAAAGGACCCTCCTGTTTAAAAACTATGCCAATACTTTAGGACGTAAATCCAATCAGAAATGTTCACAAAAGGACTTTGTAAACCTCAGGATAGTGAAATATACTAAAGTTTTATATATACATTAACAAGTATCACCCTAAACTAGGTTGAAGACACTGATTATGCCAAGAAATTATGTCAGAGCATTATTGAAACCTTTTGGCCCAAATCACTGTCACCTTGAATTAAATACATGGCTCCAACCAAATATGGATCATAGATCTTATAAGATATTCATAATTGACAGAGTGAAAAATTCATATGAGAGCATTACCAAATATATGATAGCCTCAAAGCATTATGTATTTTCTTAGCTCCCATCATAGGAGTGGGCAGATGAGAATTTTTTGATGTTACAAAGGGTCTTTATCTTTGAACAATGGGGGAATCTGTAAGATAACATAAAAAAACTGACTTGGACAGATAACTGATATCATTCATCCTGTTTGAGACAGGGGCTTCCATCTCCCTGGTGGCTCCCAGCAGAACTCAAACAGTAAGAAGTCATAGCCCTTCCACCATCCCCACATCTCTCTCTCTCCCTCTTTCTCTTTCTCTCTCTCTCTTTCTCTCTCTCTCTCTCTCTTTCTCTCTCTCTCACACACACACACACACACACACACACACACACACACACACGTCACACACAGTGTCTCTGGGCATGTTGCCAAAATCCTTTATGTGCTGCTTCTTGTAGAATGCTGGAATACTCTGGCTAAGAGAAGATACTGCTTTGGATGTGAACAGAGTAAGCCTGTGGAGAGTGATAAGACCATCTCCAGAGGAGAGTCCATGTGCCCAGGGTAGCGAAAGCAGATAACATAGCACAGTTAACACGGCAGAGGTGATCCTGAGGTCCCTGTAGGTCTGGCTCACTGAGGACCTAGGATAGAAAACCCTGTATGGGGTTTTCCTAGGAGCTTCTACTATTTTAGGGTTAGGAGAAAGTCCTAGGAGAAACGTGCTCCTTCAGGGGCTGTGACACAGCAAAAGCTTATAAGGGGTGTAAGAAAACTGGGGCTTAGGTTGCTGTAATGTGCCTGTGGATGAAGAACATATGTCTACTAACTTTAAAAAAAATTAAACCACTTTCTCACTCATTATGACCGTCTGACTTGGAAGCTGGATGTGGTTCTGGTTTAATGGGTGACAAATGAAGAAATTTCAAAACCACAATGAGATATCACCCCACACCTGTTAGAATGACTATTATAAAAAAGACAAAAAATAACAAGTGTTGGTGAGAATATAGAGAAAAGGGAACCCTCGAACACTGTTGGTGGAAATGTAAAGCGGTGCAGCCACCAATGGAAAATATTAGGGATGTTTCTCAAAAAATTAAAAATAGAAAGAACTACCACATGACCCAGCAATTTCACTTCTGGGTATTTATGCAGAGAAAACAAAAACACTCTCTCAAAAAGATATCTGAGCCCGGCCGGGTGTGGCTCAGCGGTTGAGCTTCAACCTGGGATCCAGGAGATCGGGGTTCGATTCCCGGTCAGGGTACATGCCTGGATTGCGGGCTCAATCAATGACTCTCTCATCATTGATGTTCCATGTGTCTCCCCTAGCTTCTGGTGGTTTGTTGGCAATCTCTGGCATTCTTTGGCTTATAGAGGCACCACCCCCATCTCTGCCTTCATCTCCTTGTGGTGTTATCCCTTTGCACGTGCCTCTGTGTCCAGAATTTCCCTTCTTTTAAGGACACCAATCATATTGAATTAGGGCCAACTTTAATGACCTCAAGTTAACTAGTTACATCTGCAACCATCCGTATCTCCAAACAAGCTCACATTCTGATGTACTGAAGTTAGGACTTCAACACATGAATTTGGGGG